ACCAGCCTCGCACCTCTTCTTCATCTATTAGGCTGGTGCAGATGTAAACTTATATTATATTATTTTCTGCCTAGGATGATGAATGCTGGATCTTATTGTCACTACTCATAGATTTTTCCTTGTGCCTCCTTGATAGTGGCTGTCTAAAACTGTTTTTGTTATCTTCTAATAAGGGTACAGCGCTAAAATTTAAAAAAAAAAAATTATAATTTTTAATTTTAAATATTTTGGTTTAGAGACCAACTGGTAGTACAATTTGCTGAACTCTATAGTAGATCTCAGAGAGACTGATTCCATTAACAGAGAGACTGATTCCATTAACAGCTTAACAAAATTCAACAAACTTGCTTGCTCTTGGTAAGATCAATTTAAATTCTACTATTCCTTCTTAAGATCTCAGTGTAGATGGGTACTATCCTTTGATTCACAAGCACTCAAATAATCACATTCTTGTTTTTTGGGTATACATACGCATCAATTCACCTATTTGTTATGAAATCAGGTTTGAATCCTCTGACCATTCTTTTATGTGCCACCTCTTCACTTTATTACTAATACTCTCTTCATTCTGTATCATTCTACTTCTTCCCAAGACTACACTCTTAAGATATAATTTCTGATCAAATTGACCATGCCCTTTCTCTTAACCCTTCTGCCAATGTTATTGTTATTGGAACTTACATGCTTATCACACTGAATGGCTTAGCTTTAACACAAATGACCTTGCTAGGACTAAACTCTATAACTTCTGCATTTCTAAATCTCTTACTAATATATGTAAATTTATGACTCTTTTTCCTGACAACCCTAATCATTTGCCTTTAATTTGATTTATGTCTTGTTTCTGATCCTAGCCAGTGTTCAATTTCTCATTTTTCTCTGTAAGGTAGTTCTTACTATGTAATGATCTCATTAAACCTTTCACCTCCCAGTTCCTTTTTGGATTCACCCTATCATCACACTACTTACTACTACTACCCTAAAACTGACTGAGATTCTTTTCATGATTTTCTTCATGATGGTCCTTGGGCCGATGTCTTTTCTCTTTCTGGATTCAGATAGGAATGGAAGCTTTTGTTCCTTCTAGTCGGTTTCAAGTCAGGGCTCATTCTACTCCATAGATTTTACCTTTTTATGCAGCTGCTAATCGTTGTCATTTTTTATTTTTTTCAAAAGAACATCTTGAGAACTAACAGCTATTTATCATTGCAAGAAATTGTTGGAAAAAGGTTTTGTTTGATGCTAAGCTCCAATATTCTCAGTTCACTAAATCTCGCATCCTATCTCAGAAGTTAGGCTCTAGAGACTTTTGGAAAATCTTTAACAGTGTCATTATTAAGGTTAGGTCTAACATTCCATATTTCTTATTCATGGGACTGACCTTATTACCTCTCTCAAGGATAAGGCAGAACTATTTGCAAAGAACTTTTCTTCAAATTCGACTTTTGAATCTGGCTATTCTCTTCCTTCCATTCCAATTAAACAGGTTAACCCAATGTTAGATATCACAATTAAACTATTCTACTGCTTGTGGTCCAGACAACATTCCTATCATAGTCTAACAAAACTATTCTCCAAAACTCTCTTCAATTCTCTCTAAACTATTTAACAAGTTCTTGACTGAGTCTTGTTTTTCTGCCTGCTGGAAAATGATATCCGTTGCTCTAATCTTCAAAAATTCCGGAAAACATTATGACCCCTTTAATTATTGTCTGATCAGTCTTCTTTCTGTTATTAGCAAGGTTTTAGAGTCTTTGATCAACACATTTCTCACATCCCATTTTGAATCAAGTAACTTACTATCAGACAATCAATACAGTTTTCGACCCTCTTGTTCTACGACTGAATTGCTAACTGCTGTGACTTGTGAAAAATTTTATTGTGCATTAGATGGAGGCGGAGAGGCTAGCACTACTGCTCTTTACATATCTGAGGTTTTCAAATAGTGTATCTGGGAAAGTTTTTGAGATTATCAAATCATTTTTTTCTAAACGCTTTATTAAAGCCATCCTTGAAGACCAACACTATTAATCATTTCCAGTAACTTCTGGGGTACCTCAAGGTTTTACCCTTGGTCCTGTTTTGTTTCTTATTTACTCTCCTGATTTCATTCTCTATTTCTACAAATCTCTTACACAAATTCATCTTGCTTGACTCGTCATTCAGCAAAGTCTCACTCTTTGTATCTGTCCCTGCATGCTCTAAAAAATTTTATTTGTTTAGTTTTTTTCCCCTCACTTTAATTCTTTGGAACTCTCTCTCATCTACATGTTTTCTTGACTCATACAACCTTCAACTTTTCAAGTCACACACAGTGTTTATATTTATATATATATATATATATATATATATATATATATATATATATATATATATATATATATATATATATATATATATATATATATATATATACTTACTAAAGCGTGTTTTGATAAGCATTTGCTCACTTTTTCTGCTTACCTTAAGCTATACCGTTTTTTCCGAAAAAGAAGAAGAAAAAACAAAGAATGATGAATAAAACAATTGTTTCCTCATCCCAAACCCTCAGTCGATGTAACAGCACTCCACTGCGAGTCAGGCTATTTGTCAGTCGATGTATATACTGAAGCCCCCAGCAGCAGGCTATTTCAGTATGACGTCAGATTGCTTACTTTAGTACGCAATACTATTTGTATATATATATATATATATATACATATATATATATATATATATATATATATATATATATATATATATATATATATATATATATATATATATATATATATATATATATATATATATATATATATATATATATATACAAATAGTATTGCGTACATATATATATATATAATATATATATATATATATATATATATATATAAATATACAAATAGTATTGCGTACTAAGGTAAGCAATCTGACGTCATACTGAAATAGTCTGCTGCTGGGGGCTTCAGTACATACATCGACTGACAAATAGCCTGACTCGCAGTGGAGTGCTGCTACATCCACTGAGGGTTTAGGATGGGGAAGCAATCGTTTTATTCATCATTCTTTGTTTTTTCTTCTTTTTTTTCGAAAAAAACAACATTTCCTTCGTATGTATATATATATATATATATATATATATATATATATATATATATATATATATATATATATATATATATATATATATATATATATATATATATATATATATATATATATATATATATATATATATATATATATAATAACTTCTTTTTTATAATGACAAAAAATTTTTTTTGAATTATTTCAACTTTTATTTTAATTCATAAGGTGTACCTTTTGTATTCTAAAAAAGTAGAAAATGGACTCAATAATATTCTGATTCTGATCTTTTTAATTGTGAAGTAATTTGCTCACATTTCAAAAAAAAAAATGCTTAAACGTTTGAAACCAATATGTATACTATTCCAGGCAATACCTATTTTATTTTTTTAACACTAATATACTTTCAATTCAAAAATTATATTTTTATTGCTATAATGGAACTGTTGGAAACAGATAGTCTGATGTTGTATGTTCAATGCTGCATGATTTTGAATTACTAATTGTCTCAAGTTTAAAGGATTTGCAATTTATGTGCTAGGCAAAATACAAAATGAAAAGTTTTAATTTGATTTTATTATCTAGTTAATAAAACTAAAAAACTTGACAGCATTACTGTTTCATTACCAATTAGAAATCTATCACATTATGTATAGGCATTACACCTCTAAAAAATGCAATAGAAACATTAGCTATTGCAAATCAAAAGTTTTTTGCAGAAACACTAGATGATCTCACAAAAAACCATAACAATATAATATTGTATATAAACATGATACAAGAAAAATTTCTGAAATTTGCAGAGTTTCAAAGCCTTGGTTGTTAGTTAACATTTAAGACATGTTTACTTAGAGAAATTGAAATATTAAAGGTTATGAAATATTAAAAGTTACAGTTTAATTATATGGGAAAATGGAAATATTTCATTTTATGCGTGTTAAATCCTATGTTTAGATTAACGAAATGCCTGATAAACTGAAACAAGCATACATAGCTCTGTTGTCTTTTTTTGATAAAATTTAAAGACTTACTGAAGCTAAACATTTTCTGAATGGACAAAATAAGACATTATTTGATCTTGTTTTATCTTTTTTTTTTTAATTTATTTTATTTTCCTTTGATATTAAAAACAAAACATTTTTAGTAACGTTTTGTTCACAATTAGTTTTTGTATGGTTTATACAAACTTAATATAAAGTGATGGAACACAGACATTATGGAACCATCTGTGGTAAATAGATGAGGTTGGGGAAGAGATAAGGTTGCAATGCTATTTTGTATAAAGTTAAAAAAAACTTTCATATAATATTTTGTTTGAATTTTTTTTTATTATGTTGTAGTTGTATATTACAATGTGTTACCATCTACCTTTAAAAAAATAAGTACTCTAAAAGGTTAAAAGCTAATGTAATTTATGAGTTGATGAGTTTACAATGGAAAAACCACAGATGTACAAAATGAGTATCTTGTTTTCAAAAGAACACTTCAAATAAATAATACTTATATTTAGCACAAAAACTGCATTTTTATATTGTATAAAGACTAAAATGTCAGAAAAATATACTTTTAATTAAATAAATTATTAATAATCAGATACCTAATGTCACTAAACACTAAATTTCATTTTTCTCAAAATGAGAAAAGTGTGACATCTGTGGTTTTACCCATGTGGTCTACATTTTATTGAAAACAACCATTGTCTACTTTAATGTGGCTATATTTTAAATTACTTTTTCTTTGATGAATCAACCAATCAATATTAAAAAAATTTAATATTGATTAGTTGATTCATCAAAGAAAAGTTTTAGCAACCCTTCGAACTCCTTGAGCAAAACAAAGAATTCTATAAATAATGCAAATCAAAAAACTTTATTATTTAAAGCTAACTGATAAGTGTTAATAAATAAATTATAACTAATATTGTAAATTTTTACCTTAGACCAAGCTCCAGAAAGACAATATTCACAGAATTTAGAAGCTGACAAATTTTCTAACTCACACCCAGACTCTTTTATTAAACAGTCAACAGTCTTGCTAAAAAATAAACACATATCACCAAATCAATTAAATGATCTACATTTAATAGAAACATTTTGAATTATAAACTTGAAAATAAAAAATAAAACAATATTTTTTATAAAACAAAAATATAAATTATACTAGTAGATGAACATGCATCAATTATATTATATAAATAGTTATTTATATAATATAATTGATGTATACATCATTAATACAATAATATATTATAATATATTACAAAACTATTTAAATATGTACACTTATAACTATTGATAAAATAAATTCAATTCCTCAAAAAAAATAAAAAACTTTTTCTTTTGTTTGTTTCACCTCCCTAATGCCATGAAGCCCACTACAGTCAAGGGAGGCTACTTTAATTGTGGTTACAACCTTGTCTTGACTCTATAACTCCAAAACATAAACCTTGACGAACAAAGCTGCAACAAATTGAGCCCAGAACTACCAGGGATGTGGTGGAGATCAAACTTTGGAAGCTTTATTATTACTTTACATTATTTTACAATATTTATCTGTGTGCATGAAAAAATCTAAAAATTGCTAAAATATGCCAAAATGAAGTTAACTGTAGTATTTTTCTATTCACCCATGAGTCTTTACAGACAAGTTTTCTGATTGGCTACTACTGTCTGCAACAAATGGGCAAAATATAAGTAGCATGTTGCAGTTTAGAACTTAAATATATCTATAAGTGTATTTTTAATTTGCCTAAAAAGTTCAATTTTCAGCCATTTTGAGATGCTTGTAAATTTGTGTCCAGTTTATATCAAAAATAGCATTTTTAAATAACTCTATTTTTTAATTATCATCACTTGAATGCATTATAGGAAACCAGCACCCCTCTAATCTGCTTTATAGTCCATGTGAGGAGAACAACCAACCCTGTCATTTTTTAACAAAAAGAAAGGTATGGTTGGTTATTCCTTCCATAATTTAAAAGCAGGCAAATGGGAAGGAGGTTTTATACGCAGAGATGCAGAGTTCCGACGATTTTTCTGGACTCAGGACTCTAGATTTCAAGGTCAAAAATGATGGATATCTTGGACTTTGACTTAGGAGCCCCAAAAAAACCAACAGTCATGTCACAGAGCAACGCAAAAGAGCATTTATCTAGGATGTTCATGTCTTTCCCCTAACCGATCATGTAAAATGCTAACAGAGCTCATTTCGAACTTTGGATTTCTTGCTTGTTCTAAACACTGCACCATGGTCGCTTATTAAATAGTTTTATTTTTTTATCTGGAATTTTATGAATGTGGAAAATCCAGAATTTTAAATTTCATTTGATATTGTATTAAGATTTAATTTCTATTAAATTTACTATAAAATTTTCCATAACACTATAAAATTTTCTGATGTGAATTAAATTATTAATAAGTTAGTTTGTCCTGTAGTAACTGAATAATAAAAATTAATAAGTATAATAGATTTTTGAAGAAAAAAAAATCAAGAAAACTGTATATTTCAGGTGACAACACTCTTATAGCAAGTTTAAAAAAAAAAAGTATTATATTTAATTTTAATAATAGCTTTGTTATAAATATATTATTGAGCCCACACTCATTTTGTAGCAAGATTTGTGCGTAACACAGCACTTAATGCTTCTCAACCAAATGAAATTGCATTCATGAATGGATTTATTAATTATTTGTTGGATATAATATTGGATAATTATTTTGTTAACACCCACACACAAATTGGTGAAATATCTTTTTCATATGCACCATTTATTATTTTATTCACTGGCAACAACTTTTTCTCAAAATGCCAATTAAAAATTACGTTATGCATTAAATTATTAAATATTAGGTCTTTTAAAAACCTTAATATCATATATCTTGAAAATGCACTTTAAAAAACATTAATTATTCTGTAAAATGTTTTATTTATAAAAATTTTATTATTTTACTTATAAAAAAAAAATATTTTCTTTGAGATTAATTTGTTTTTGTGAAGTGAACAGCTTGAACAGACGTTTTTTACCACTTCTCTAGCTCTTATTAGTTTAACTTTATAATGCCAACTTAAAACATCTTTTAATTTTATTAACTTATTTTGTTCAAGACTTTTGCCGTGCTAATGGAGCTTTTTTTCTTATAATTAATTTATTAACTAAGAAACAGTTTTACGTATCTAAACTGTAACAGCAGTTTTTTATTAGGCATTTTTTTAAAAAAATAATTTGGCATTTCATTAGCAAAGTAGACCAAAAATTAATGGCATAAAACATAATTTGCCATAACAACATATTTATGGTTCAGGAAATGTTGAACAGTTTTTGTTTTCACAAAAAAAAAAAAAATTTTTTGTGATAAAAATATATTTTTTTTTTCATCAAAAGTAATGAAACTAACAAAATGGAGATATTTTTTAAATAGAATTTTCCAAAAAGGGATGTTGCCCTGCACAAAACTTAATTTGAAAACAAGTTGTGACATGTGGAAACCTGGGCAATGTTTGGTATATTAATAAAAAAAAATCTTTAAATTTAAAAGATGCAAAAATGGTAAGACGAACTCCAATTTATATAATAAATAACAATAATAAATAATAATAACAAACTAATTTTGACTACTTTTAAAAAACAATTTACTGCTACCTTGCTAAAGGTGATAATCCATCCCAACTTTTATAAAAGAAAATTTAATTTTGAATTGCTTTAGCAAACTCTGCAGATTTATATCTGCACACATGTTATTACATAAAATGGTTTTATTGGACTTTTCAAAGATTACTATCTTAACAAGCACTGAAGGGTGTTTTGACTGTTACCATACATCTTAGAAATAAATAAGACATAAGAAAAATTTTTTTTAACAGGTTAAACTTTTAAAACAATTTCATAAATATCTGCGTATTAGCAAGCCATTTTCAAACCAATTCTGAACCTTGCCAAATGTGTAAGAATAGAAACCAATAGACAAAGAGATGTAAAAATTCTGGTCTAATGCTCTTGCACGATGCTCTGTGACGAGGCAGTTTGTTTTTTTTGAAGCATCTGATGAACTTAGAAAAAAAAATTACCAGAGACCCAAAATTTTCATGAACCCCTGAGATACCAAACAAAAATTGGGACTTTCGGACTCTGGCTCTGCACCCCTGCTCATATGGTCCATAAAGAAAAATCATAATTAATAAATAGGACAGTCAGAATAATTTATTAAATAAGGGTGTGTATAGTATGCTAGTTTTTAAAAAAATACAAGACTTAGTTACTCACATGTTTATTATTTCTATTTTTTGTTTCTCACCTCCTTGCAGCCAAAAGCTGTAACCCTTAGGTCGCATTATATTCTGACCATTTTAAAAAAACATAAGCTAAACAAAATATGGTCTAAAATGCATGAATGATAAAGCATCCTACACGATTTGAATTAAGCGTATTGGGATTAGGGATGTTGAAAATTGTAAAAATGCCTGCACGGGTACTCATCAATTGAATAGGCAGGTACTCTGGTACCTATTAAAAGAACAATATATTTTGTAAAAGTTGTTTTTATAAACATTAAATAAAAACTTTGAAACTTCATTTTACTTTAAGTGTTGAGGTTAAACAAGTCAAAATTACAGTTCAGAAATATTAGCATGTCTACTTCCGGTGCCAAAGATGCACACTGCCTATCAACCACATGATCAGAAGTCAAGCAACCACATTCTGATGGCACTAAAGTTACATGCATGCAAATTTACTTGGGCACTAAAACAGCATAATTATATCTTTCATCTTTCAGGTTTTGAAAGAGTTTAGTCTAAAAGGCAAATTAACAAACAAGCTGGAGAAGTTCTGCTACATAAAAAAACATTGTATATAAAAACATTGTATATATAAATGGCAATAGTAATTATTGAGAAATAAAAAGTGGGTCTAAATCAGAAACTCAAAAAATTTTGTGAATGTTATACACAACGTTTTCAGAAATTATTAAACTATTAAATTCATATATGATTATTTGCTCTCTTGCATGGAGAAATTCATTTAACATATGAGGTTTTTATCAATGTTTATCCATAAAGTACCTCACTCAAATTCATAATATTATGATTTTATGAAAATTCTCTCTTGTACTGAGATTTTCATTTAACAATAAGTGCTTTTCAATTTTAATAACTGCATTTTGAACTTTAATTACTGTAAAATTTTATCTCTGCATAGAAACCACAAATATCCTACTTCTATTTTGAAGTTAAATTTAGTTATATTAATTTATGGATTTTTGGACTTTTGACAATTATGGCACTTTGACAATTATGGACTACTTTATGGACAAAGTACATAACAGAAAATTTACTTCCAAACTAAATCAAAACAACCAGTTAAGTTATTACAGATAAGTACTCATCTATTAAATACATATAATATGCTTAAAGACATTTACTTCCAAAAGAAATGTTTATATCTTATAAGCTATTAACACATAATAAGCTTCTAGCTTAAAACTATTTTAACAAGAAATTCCAATTAGAATTTGAAAAATACAATACCATTTTTTTATATTTTCATTTTATTTTAAGCAATACCAAGATTAAACATTTCTATAAATATGTATATTGTTTTTAGAAATTAATTTTAAAAAGAAATCTTTTTAGTTTTACAGTAACAATATCAGATTTAGAAGATAGTGCAAGTGAGGAAGGAAACTTTATTTAAATTGTAAACATTTTTAATAATTAATTTTTTTTTTTGTAAAATTGTAATTATTTTTTGTTTCTTGAAAATGGTTTAAAAAGTAATTATATTTTATTGCAAACATTAAACTAGTGAAATAAAAACTAAGTTATAAAAAATTTAAAATTTAAAGTTATTTTGATTCTGTTCAAAAAATATTGACACAACAACTTCGCAGTTTTATTGTTGTTTTATATATAGCTTTTTACCAGGGCCTTCTTAATGGAAGGCTCGACACCATGCAGAAAATTTCTTGAATGAAGGCCGGTTTTAAATAAGATGTTTAAAGTTGTTAAATATTGGTAGCTGTTTTCAAAGAAATTTAAAA